TGTGTGTGTGTCTGTGTGTGTGTCTGTGTGTGTGTGTGCTCATCATCCTCACAGCAGGTGTCAAACAGGTGCGCCATGGCAACACACCCGCAGGAGAACAGGACACGCCCCCTGCGGTCCACCCTCCCCCGCTCAGACTCGTTGGACTGCGATCAGATTCACACACCGACTGACTCCAGCCAACATCAGTGTGACCTTTAACCTCTGAAGACCACAGACCGCGCTGATAATCAGTCGATGAAGGTGACGCATGGTTCTTCCTCCCGATTGGTCCGGTGAGCTGCAGGTTCAGGTGGACTCTTGTTTTTGATTGGTGGAAACGTCGGCAGGCTCTCTGCGTTCTCAACAGCAGCTCAGGTGTGACTCACAGAGCCTCAGGTAATCCCAGCAGTCTCCGTGGTGACGGCGGGCTCTGCTGCGACAGCCTGCTGAAGCTGCTCGTCCTCTGCTCCTCTTTCAGAAGAAACCAACAGCTGATCGATCAGCTGATCGGAGCGCCTGCAGGTGATTGGATCACTTCGGCGCGGTGCACGTTCCTGTCCTGCGAGTCCACGTGAAGATGGCGGACGTTTTGAGCACGCTGTACGCCGCTCTCATGCTGCTGACGAGCGTGGCATCCACCTGTGGGAACCTCCTCCTCCTGCTGGTGCTCCTGCTGAACAAGGAGCTGCGGTCCGACTCGCTGGGCCTCACCCTGAGCTTTAGCCTTAGCGACCTCGCTCTCGGACTCTCCGCCGTCCCCGTCAGTGCGTACAACAGCCTCTCCCAGCCTGTCAGACGCTCCAGCGAGGCCGACGTCTGTCAGGGCGCCGGCTTCATCTTCCTCCTGCTGCAGACCGCCTCCCTGCACTCGCTCGCCTGGGCCACCGTCTACAAGTTCACGGAGATCTGCTTTGCACTCAGCTTCCACAGCATCTGGACGGCGGGGCGGAGCCGGGCGGTGCTGATCGCAGTCTGGCTGTTCTGCCTGGCCAACGCCACCATGCCGCTGCTGGGTTTCGGCAGCTACGCCTACAGCGAGTCACGGTTCCTCTGCTGCCCGAGCTTCACCCCGGAGAACAGGTGCTTTGTGCTGCTGTGGATGGGGGCAGGCATCGTAGCGCCGATCCTCACCATGTGCTCGCTGTACGGATACATCGTGTACGTGGCCAGGAAGCAGGCCAGGAGGGGAACCTTCATGTGCAACGAGCTGCACTGCTTCTACGTCCCTGCCAACAACTACCTGAGGAGCTCCATCGTCATGGTCACCACCTCAGGTGAGCTCACGTTGCAGGGACACGGGTTACACCTCCACTTCACCGACTCTTTGTGAAAACTTCGTCCTCTGAGTTTCCCCACACAGAGGTCCGGTGACTAGTGTCCAACCTCTGTAACAAGCCCACAAACATCTGCACAACAAATCAGCTAAAACTTACAGCTGTGTGACAGTAACGCTCAGATGTTTGAACTAATCTCAGACTCCTGTTAAATCTCCAGCTAGTCTAAAAGTCTCTGCAGTCTCTTAAACTTCAGTAAGTAGTCCGAAACTTGTCCTCTAGATTCTTTAACTGGTGCACCAGTCCCAGTAATTACCAGTGATTTCATACGGAGCTCCAGCTTCACTGGGACTGAACATCCTGCCTATCAGATTTCTGCTGATCGAGTCTGATGCATGAAATTATTTTGTTCCTTTGACAGAAAACATTTCTCCGTTCGTAAAGCCGAGCAGATGAAAATGTCCTCGTAATCTCAAACCAAACAGCAGGACCATGTGACCACGGGGCCGTTTACCCTCTAAAATAAAACCTCGGTGTCACAGCGGCCGTCTTTGAGGATCAGCGTCCATGTTTATCTTTGTGACTCACTGCCATTACTCTCATTACAGGGACAAACACTGAGGTCATAAACACAGGGTCAAAGGTCACCACAGCCAGCTGCAGACGGTCTGAGTGACCGATAAACCAGGTTAATGTTTTCGCCATAAGGTCAATGAGAGCGCTGCGAGTAAATGGCTACTGGCTCTAACACAGCACTGATAAAGTGCTTTACACGCCACGTTCACCTGAGCTCCAGCCTGGAGCGGCCAGGCACCGAACCGCCCACCTTCAGATTGGTAGACAGATCTGCAACTAGTCCCTGCGCCTCTTTAACTAGTCCACAGATAACTAGTCTCCAAACGCCAGCTCACTCATGAGCTGCTGATGAGGTCATGTGACTGTTTCCTGTCTCCTGGCAGTGTGTCTGCTGGTCTGCTGGCTGCCCTACATCTCTGTGTGTCTGTACGAGACGCTGAGCGGTCAGCAGAGTCCGTCCGTGACCGCCGCCCTCTCCTCCTGGCTGGTTCTGACCAGCGCCGCGCTCAACCCGTGGATCACCTGCATGACGCAGACGTGAGTCAGACTTTCTTTATCGAAGTTTCAGAAGCAGTAATGAAATGTCACTATGACGCGCTCATGATGTCATAGTGAACAGGAACTTCCTGTCTGTCTCTCTGTGACTCCAGCAGGTACAGGGCGGCGGTGTGCCGAAGTTTCCGCAGGTTCATTCCTTGTGCCGGGATGTTCCTGGAGTCCCACTCCCAGAGCTCCGCCCTCCATCTACCTGCGACCGATCGCCCCAGCACAACAACAACAACAACAAGTACGACCGCAACACAGCCTCCATCTCCTCCCAAAACACTAACAACACCATGACCCCCCCATCACCATCACTGGACCTGTGCACTCTGGGAAACGTAGGCCAAACTTCTCATCTTCTTCTCCAGCGTGGACGAGTTCTGACGTTGTGTTCGAAGACCGCACACTGATGTTCAGCTGATCCCGCAGCCTCACAACACGAAACATTTCCTGATCCACTCAGAGTCACAAACAGTCCGAGCTCTTTCAGCTCCGTTTCAGCAGAGGTGTGTTTATGCTGACGTGACCACATCAGGACGAAGGTTAAACTGCTCCATGGGCTCAGTTACACTGAGCGTTTAAACTCTGAGCTGGACGCCGCGCTGCACGTGAACAGAGCTGATAAACAGCCGGAGACTCTGGGAGTGACGAGCGGCTCGTGCAGCCCAGCAGGATCGAGGATGATGGACAAACTCGGCGGAGCCTGGAAGTCAGCATCTCCGCCCTGATGTGTGCACTTCAAATTCAAACTCATTTCCTGTTTATTATGACTGAGCATCCTCTTAGAAAGACTGTGTCAGTTTGGCTGCTTTTGCTGTTTTCATTTTGAAAGCTGTCCTGATAAACAGCAAAAATAAAATGATATTACTTTTAAAATAATTAGAGCGAATAATGAAAAACTAAAAAAATAAACTACAAACAGATGATCACTGGTCTAATTGTTGTTTTAAACACCAACAGTTTACATCAGTGGGGCTTTTATTTTGTCAGCTTGAGCTCTTATTTTCTCAACAGCAGGATCTATGACATCATCCTGTACCATGACATCACTGCAGGTCACTGAACTTCCTTTTAACTGGTGAATATCAATAATTCAGTAGCTTCATGGTGACAGTGACAGAATCAAAGGTCAGAGGTCAGGTGTTTATACCTGGTTGACGACCTCAAAGTAAAGCGCCAGCGTGGTACTCGGATCCAGTCCGCAGACCTTCCACTGACAGGTTCCTCCCGTGCCGATCTCCTGGAACACAAACAGTCACAGTCTAAGCAATTCTGCCCCTGCAGGCCGGACACAGGAATTACACCCACCTGAGGATTCACCTGTACCTGACAAAAACACACAATCAGCACTTATATGAGCAGTAAGATTCTGAGGCGGCGGTGTTAGTGTACTTCCTGTCTCAGCCTGCAGGGGGCAGTGTT